CACCGCGGTCGCTCTGCAGCCGCCTCCCCCCAGCTGGGCGGCGCTGGCTTCAGAGCGACTGCTGGGGAAACCTCCACCGCAGTCGCTCCAAAGCGCCCGCTGGTCAGCTGGGGGGAAATGGGGCCTATGGGGAAAAATAAAAGTGATCGCAAAATCCGCATCGCTATGCGGATTCGTCGTTAAACGGGGCGCTCGTTATATGAGGCACCACTGTATAGGAGTGGGAACTGGGGATCCAAAGGTACCAATATGGTCTCCCCAGCCTATTGCCGCCAGCTCCCTTCCTTCCACTGTCCCTGGGCCAGATTAACATATCATCAAGAGTGATCTACCAGGGCTGCCACCTGGGATTATGTGGATCTGTTTGATGTCAGATCTCTCCTTTCTTTCTCCTGGGAAACTAAAGTCAAATCAAGCCATTATCATTTATAGAAGAAATCAAAATATGAGGGATTCTCCATCTTGCAAGAACTAGACAAAATCAAACCTTTATAATCTCTAGGAGCAAAAGAGACGAATAGATGACTGTGTTTTAGGTATAGTAGGAGACATTATAAATTTCCCTCACACAACTTGAGCAAATATCTTTATTTAAGATGCACTTCTCAATCTACTGGAATAGCATTCTGTTGTTCCTGGTCAATGCAAGCCCATTCACACCCACATCAGCCCATGCCCATGATAAAACACACAACATATTTGTGTGATAGAAATACCACATGGATTACTATTCGTAAACTCACGAGATCTGGGCTGGAATGGCACATCCTACAACCAGTTACAATTATTTCCTCCTGCTTGGGTCTCTTGAGGACAAGAAAATATCCTTTCTCCCTCCAAGGGTTCAAGAGAGTATATCTCAAGAGGACCTGGGAAGTTGTGGCAAAACAAAAGAGGAAATAGAAACAAAAAATAAGAGTTGTGGGTGTGATATCTTCTGAAAATACAGAGGGGAAATTTCTGACATGCAGGAAAAGGGGCTACTGTCTCTTTAAGAATTGACTGGCAGAGGAAGGAAAGGACCCATGGAAAGGGAGGAAGAAAAAGCCCCCCTCTTATTTATTCAGTTTGTTTTCTGAGGAGGAGGGTGGTCAGGAGCATCTCTTGGGGGGAGATTTAGGAAAAGGGGAACTTAACAGAAGTACTTGACCCAAGTAGCCCTTTCAATTTCCCTCTGAGATCAGCTTCAATGCCTTAAGGGGAGATTGTGATGGGTCCTCTTCCAGCCACATGAAAGAAGGGGAGGAGGGTCTCCCCAGAGAAAGAGGCTCCAGAGAAAGTGTAGAGATGGGATCCCGTGTCAGCATCATGAAAGGACACCTGCCCCCCTTCATAGTTCAGGGACACTTGGATCCTTCTCAGCTTCTCACTCAAAGAAAGACAAGTTTCAACAGAAAGGTTGGAGGCCCTGTATTTACTTCTCCATCTCCCCAAAGCCCAGATCCCTTCCTTAGTTATCCATTCAACAAAGCCTTTCCTCCTTACAGACTTCCTGGCCACCCCCACAGCCCAATTTCCCTCACTTCCCACAGTGACTTCCCAGTAATGTCTGCCTGCTCTGAATCCCTCACATCCCAGCACATAAAGTTGATTGTTGAATCTTTCAGGATTGTCATGTAAATCTTGCCATCTGAATTCATATCTCACACTTTTGCGATCTTCGGACAGAAAGAGACAAGGATTTGCTGTCATTGGATCCAGGGTGACATTTGCTGTTTGGGGACAAAGAGCAGAAGCGAAAGTGAGGAGAATGAGGTGGGGAGAACCACTGTGGTGTGACTTGTGTCATTAACGCACCACGCTAGGTTTTTACAAGCACCCATTTTAATCTCCCTCAACATGTATGAGAAAAACATTCTGAATAATAAACAGGGAAAAAGAAATTCTGAGGCCCCATTGAAGTTAAAAGATTGATTGACGCCTGAGCTGCCTTTAGAATCTGCCAGAGTCCATGTGTGGACTGAACTGGCATCTGGGTTTGGGGTGGGGGTCGGCGCTCAATGCCTCCATCCTTTTTGTTGTGTGTGGCCTGTAAAAACCAGCACTTTGAATTGTGCTCAGAAAGAGATTGGCTGACAGTGGAACCGTTGTAATGCGGGGTTGTGCGACCCCTGTAGCCAGGCCCACGTAGCACTCTGGCCGCCGTGTTTTGGATCCACTGAAATTTTCAAACACTTTCCAGAGGTAGCCTCATATCCAGATGGGAAGTGTGAAGGTTTACTCAAGAGATCCTCTCGCCACTCAATCACACAGCCTTTTCTCTGCCTGGACAGGTTTTGTCCTGAAAAGGTCAGCGTGCTGGTGATTGGGAAAGGCCTCCCAAGGTCGGCTCTCCCCCAGCACACTCTGAGTGACTTTATTCCTTGGTGATTCAGGGAAAACACACACACACACACAGGTTGTGGCTCCGCGTTGCAGACCAACCCTGCCTAAAACTCAAAAGAATCCGAAAAAACTCGCAACCTGTCTGAGCATCCAAACCGGCTGGTTTCGTATCTCATGTAAATTTTTATAACTTTATTTAAAAACGAGAAGTAGCAAAGGATAACAGCTTGACAAAAGATTAAATGTTCCAGCAGCATTATACAAAAAAGCATAATTAGGTAGCATAAATGGAATTACAGAGCCAAAGGCCTGGTAGGGCTTTCTCACAAGGAAACAATGAAGTGCTCATCTATGGCTGCGTATACTTACAAACATGTGCAAAGTTATCCCAAGCATAGAATGCAAAGCATAGTGTGAACAGCTTAAAAATCTTTCTAAGATGATGATGATTTATAACCAATTTCCTTCCACCTTATATCCCCTCATCTCCTCATCAACGGTCTTGAGAGCTCCTCAAATCACCCGGTGTCTTTTAATTGGCCCTCAAAGTACCAGCCGAGTTTTCTTCATGAGCTGCTCTGACGACTCCTGTTCCAAGCACAAGGAATTCTCAACTAGACTCCTTTCCCTCAACCCTGTACCAAGGTCATAATGTTTGTTGCATTATCTCAAGAGAGCTCTGCCTTTCTTACACCGTTCTCAAAATATTTCGGCATGGTGGGGACAACAACAGCCACTCAGCGTGGCCTTCATAGATCTCATAAAGGCCTTTGATTTGGTTAGCAGGGAGGGCCTTTTTAAAATACTTCCCAAGATTGGATGCCCACTCTGCTGAAGACCTCCAACAACTCAAGAATCGTTTTAGCAAGGCCTGCCAAGACTTTGGACTAACAATCAGCCTGAAGAAAACACAAATGGTGGGGACAACAACAGCCACTCAGCGTGGCCTTCATAGATCTCATAAAGGCCTTTGATTTGGTTAGCAGGGAGGGCCTTTTTAAAATACTTCCCAAGATTGGATGCCCACTCTGCTGAAGACCTCCAACAACTCAAGAATCGTTTTAGCAAGGCCTGCCAAGACTTTGGACTAACAATCAGCCTGAAGAAAACACAAGTCATGGGCCAGGGTGTGGACTCACGTCCCTCTCTTACCATCTCCACACAAGAATTGGAGGTTGTTCATGACTTTGTATACCTCAGCTCAACCATCTCTGACCCACTCTTTCTGGATGTCGAGCTGGATAAACGCATTGGCAAAGCAGCTACCATGTTCTCTAGACTCACAAAGAGAGTATGACTCAATAAGAAGCTGACAACATATACCAAGATCCAGGGCTATAGAGCCTGTGCCCTGAGCACCCTCCTGTACTGCAGTGAGTCCTGGACCCTTTGTGTACGGCAGGAGAGGAAGCTGAACATCTTCCATATGCGTTGCCTCTGACGGATTTTTGGTATCACCTGGCAGGACAAAGTTCCAAATAGAGTAGTCCTAGAACAAGCTGGAATTTTTAGCATATATACATTACTGAAACAGAGACATCGACGTTGCCTAGGGCAAGTTGTGACAATGGCTGATGGTTGGATCCCAAAGGATCTCCTGTATGGAGAATTAGTGCAGGGAAATCGCCCCAGAGGGAGGCCACAGCTGCGATACAAGGACATCTGCAAGCAGGATCTGAAGGCCTTAGGAATGGACCTCAACAGATGGGAAACCCTGACATCTGAATGTTCAGCTTGGAGGCAGGCATTGCAACACAGCCTCTCCCATTTTGAAGAGACCCTTGTCCAGCAGGCCAAGGCAAAGAGGAAGTCACAAAAGCAGCAAAATCAGGGAGCTAGACTAGGGAAAGACTGTGTTTGTCTTCAGTGTGGAAGGGATTGTCACTCTTGAATTGGCTTCCTCAGCCACACTAGACGCTGTTCCAAGTCCTCTGTTCAGACCATGTTACCATAGTCTTTCGAGACTGAAGGATGCCTAACAATTGTGACATTTCTCCTTCTTCTTTATCTCCTTTGGATCTATCTGTACTGATTAAGCTATTCAATATTATGTCCATTGTCAAAGTAAAAGTCCACCACCACTATAACATAACCTTTCCTAATTTTATATAATCTAAATTCCATGTCAGAACCCTTAATTGTTTAATACTGGATTTCCTAGTCCCAATTTGCATGTGCACAATAAAGAAAGGGAAGTAACAAGATCTGCGCCCTACACCAATCCCTCCACCACACTGAAATTCCCTCTCCCTCACCCCCGCTTCCTTCCACAATCTTCTGGATGCACAGACATTCAACTGGGGTGGGTTGGTGGGGGGCAAAACAGGTCCATACAGAATGTTCTGCCTTTTCTGCTGACCAGGAGCACCTCTGTCTTGTCTGGATTAAGTTTCAGTTTATTCGCCTGCATCCAGTCCATCACTAACACCAGACACTGATCTACAACCTAATTTTCTCCCTCTGCAGGTATGCACTCTAGGTCCTCGCCTATCCCTGTAGCTTCCCTTCAGCCCAACATGTCTTGTAAAATAGATTGATCTATGGAAGCTCATCTGGAAAGACTACAATCTACCTACATTTCTTCCTCTGCAGGTATACACTCTAGGTACTGGCCTATCCCTGTAGCTTCCCTTCAGCCCAACATGTCTTGTAAAATAGATTGATCTATGGAAGCTCATCTGGAAAGACTACAATCTTTAAGGTACCGCTACCTTTTTGATTGTTTTCTTTTCTTTAGTATTGTTTCCTCTTTGTCTAGATTTGCTAGCACAGACTGATAATTTTTAAACATGCATGATTTTTTAAAATTAAAATAATTTACATTTTTAGAGAAACAAAATGAATAAATATTGAATCATATAAAATAGTGACGTTGGAAGGGCCTGTGAGGCCTTCAAGTTCAAATCCCTGCTTGATGTAGGAATTTTTCCACTTTAAATTCTGGTATTCCAGAAATAAAAATCAGCTGGAATCTGTTGCTTTTGTACAAGCGCATGATTTTTTAAAATTAAAATAATTTACATTTTTAGAGAAACAAAATGAATAAATATTGAATCATATAAAATAGTGACGTTGGAAGGGCCTGTGAGGCCTTCAAGTTCAAATCCCTGCTTGATGTAGGAATTTTTCCACTTTAAATTCTGGTATTCCAGAAATAAAAATCAGCTGGAATCTGTTGCTTTTGTACAAGCTTTAACTGGGCCTCTGAATCTTTGCAGTTTATCTGTTTTGCTCTGTTTTGGCTGTTCCGGAATGTCCGATCACTGGAAAAGAACCCAAACAAGGCTTTCCTGTCAATATCCTGAAGTGACTTAAGAAGAGAGCCACAATTCTGGCAAATTATACATTTCCTCAGCTCCCTAGTCTAGGTATATGTCTTAGGTAGAGGCATCTATACCTAACTTGTAATATACCTAACTTAGTGCTGTGTTTAAAGGGAAGTAAGTCACATTCATGGGTCTAGTGTGCCTTTGACTTTTTTTTTTCACTCGAAGGAGTCAAGGGTGTACTTAATCTCTTGTTAGGCCCCTTCACAATATTGGAAATTGCAGCTGGCTGCTGCAGACGAAATAGGGTCATTTGCATTCTGTATGGCCTTTGGATTTGAGGATCACAGCAAACGGCATGCTGGCCCTCTTAGAGACCACTTTTTACCCCAATCTAGCCTACTTCAATTATAAGGTGCAAACCCTCTGTTGACCTTAGTTTTGGCCTTGGGTCACGGGGATGCGGTACCAATACTCAGAATAAGGCCCCCATATCAGTCTGGTTCTGAACATTGGCAATAAGAGAAGACAAAATATTGTGGCACCTTAAAAGGTTTTGTGGATCAACACGTACTTCCTCAGACCCAGACTCTCCTCTGCCTTCCCACCTGTTGTTCTCAAACTTTCACATCTTCCTTATTTTTTTCCAGTTTTTAGATTTCACTGCTGTGCTGTCTGCGAAAGGGATAACATGTACAAAGCAGAATAAAAGAACACCTCGTATTCCAAGATAGCTAAAGAGGAGGTGGAGGAGCAAGGCGTGGAGAGGTGGAGAGCAACTAGCAAGAACACCCTCATAAAGAAAGGTCGTCAGATGACTCCCACCTACAAGGCCTCCGGACCAGGACGGAGGAATGGCATCTGAGGGTCCCCCTGAGCAGATCCTGCACTGGAGCAAACTACAGGGAAGCCGGGAAAAAACACCAAACCGCCACCCAGCAGTGGTGTTAAAAAGCTTAGAAAATCTGAAAGGCACTCTTGACTCTGTAAACACGAGTCTCACGTCTGGGCCACGTAGAAACAGGAATGCAATGCGAGTACAAGGGGTGCAAGGTGAGATGAACAAAGGCTTGGTGTGGAGAGAACCCACCCACCAAAAAGCATAACTGTTAATATTTAAGGTGAAAAATTATATTTTCGTCTTTCTGCATTGGGGCAATATCGCTTCCCAGTGTCTCTGTTTGAGTGTCTTCTGCAAACTGCAGAGCTATCCACGGTCCTGCTCTGGAGGAGCCTCTCTCTACTGAGCAGCTGAAGAAAGCGCGAGCAACAGATTTGAAGGCTCTTGATGGGACCAGCAATCGCTTTAGCTCTTGCTTGTCGAAAGAGCCTCAAACCAAGAAGGCCCCCTTCCCTTCCACAGATGTAGGGAGCCATGAGAAACGTACCTTTCTGTAGTTGGGATCCAGGTAACAAAGAATCTGTGAAAGCAAAAAAGAGGTACAAATCAAGCAGCAGAGCCTCTTATACACAGACGTATCCTCCCACAAACATATCTGGGCTGTATTTCCATCCATATTTAGAACTTTTAATTGGGTGTCCGCTCTTCTGAACGAGGCCAGAGGCTTCTTGGCATCTGCAGATAAAGTTGAGGAAAGGTGACATATTTGGTCCCTCGTTCTGCTGATTAAAAGAACAGCTGAGTCCCTCCCATTACTTCTGATGACTAGTTGATGACCCATGCCTGACAAATTTAGTACTTTGAGAAAAGTTCCCCCTATCCCCATAGTTTCACCCACCTTGAAAATAAAACACCGTACAATTTTGTCAGAGCCCAATGGCATTGGGGTTTGATTTGTTACATAAGAAATGCCGTACAGTAGCATCCTGAGGAAAGCCTCCTGATCAGGTTTGTCATCTTCCCACCGCCTTAAAAAGCCAATGTTCCTCTCCAATGAATTTATTAGTTAAGAGGAAACAGGATGAATGCAGAACATCTCCTGCCATATGCTGTAAGCCAGGGGTGGATCCCCTTTAAGGAGTTGTATAGGAGGAAGACTAATAGCCACAGCTGACTTCTGAATAGCTTATAAATTAAACCAAGAAATGATCAAGTCTCACAGAGTTGACATTGTAGGTTTACACAATACATTTATCATCTAGTTTTCTATAAGTGAGACAATTTATAAGGTGATCTTTAAAATGCTACTAGGAAGAGATCGAATTTTCTTTGAAAGAAAAGCTGGTGAGAAAACATTGCTTGGCATGTGTTGATTCCAGAAAAGGGACCCATTGGTTCTTAATTCATTCAGAAGGGTGAGCAATGAACTAGCCATCGCATGTGTCTGATATCAATCTCCAGGTTGTTGAAAACTGAAGAAGATTCCAGGAACCTTTTGAAAGAGTTTCTCAAACTGGGCAGATGAGCACTTGCTTTGAAGGAGGGAAACTGATCACATGCAGGAGAGAGATTCCCACCCACCCCCATTGACCACACTGTGTCAGCCTCTTTTTCATGGAGAACAACAAACCCCTCCCACCCTACCTCATAGTCTCTGAGAATAAGAGTGGATTTAGTCCTTTTCAGAGGAATGGAAAGAGGAGCTGGGCTATCTGGGAAGAGCCTTTTCTCCCTTGTGACTGCCATCCATCATGCAACAAAAGAAAAAACACACTCTTCTCCACACTCTTCTCTTGTTCCCTCTAGGACCAGGGTCTGTCCTTGCAGGTGCTCTGCCTTACCTCGGAACTGCTTCATCATCTCAGATAGAACGAGATTCCTATCATGGACATCCCTGATCTCGCACCTCAACTCAGGAGGGAAAGCCACAGGATTCTGAAAGGGCTTCTTGTTCTTAGTACTGTTGGTAGAGGAGGGAAAAAGTTACTTCAAACCCACCTAACCCTACCCAGAATTTCCGGAAAAACAAAGGGACTGAGTGGAAACTTCCAGAAAACCTAAAACAAGCATAAGCAACCTGTGGTCCTTGGGCTGCATTTGGAACCCAGAGGCATTTTTTAGCCCTCAAGGCTCCTCAGGTTTGAAAATATGAAAAAAATTGTGTTTTTCTTCCTTCCTCCTCCAAAAAGTGGTCAACGTTTGTAGTTTTAACTCTGAGAGATTTGCGGTGGATCTTAGACCTTCCATCCCTCTCCTTTCCTCCAAGGAATGAAGCAGCTGCAAACCACCAGCATCTTGGCACTTTCTCTTTCCATTTTTTAAATCGCTTAAAATGGCTTTTGAAGAAGTACAGTGGTGCCCCGCATAGCGACATTAATCCGTTCCGAATTAATCGTCACTATCCGGAAACATCGCTATGCGGGGGGGAACCCCATAGGAACGCATTAAACTTCGTTTAATGCATTCCTATGGGGCGAAATCTCACTGTTATGCAAAGATCCTCCATAGCACCGCCATTTTCACTGCCTCGGTAAGCGAGGAAATCGCGCGAAAATGGTTGCAGTGGCCATTTTGGAACCGCCGATCAGCTGTTCCAAAAACATCGCAATGCAAAGATCGGTAAGCGAAACGCTTACCAATCATCGCAATGCGATGTTTAGGCTATCTAAACATCACAATGCGATCGCATTAGCGATCCAAAAAAATAGGTCGCTATGCGGATTCATCGTTAAACGGTGCGCTCGTTATGCAAGGCACCACTGTACAGGTGGTAGCAGCTGGTTCAAGCATTTGTCTCCCCGGATCAAACCGTTAAGAGATAAAGAGTCCTCATTCCAGCTCATAACCAAGGGCAGGAATAACAGGAATTTGGGAGCTGCAGGAGTGGAGAAAGGTGTCTTTAATTACAATAAATAGCTGTTGCTCAATGGTGTTATCAGCAGGAAGAGTCTTTTTTGTACCTACAACTCCTGCTCCCAAAGGTTTTCACACGGCCTAGAAAAGTTTAGGGCTTCATCACCCACTCCAAACTTTCTATGTTTCTGTGAAGCTTTTGTTTGTAATATTCTTCCTGTATTGTTATTATATTCTTTGTCCTGTATCATACAGAAAGAACTTAAGAAACATGTTGCTGTTTTTCCTGTGTTCTATTCAGCCACTTCCAACTTATGGCAACACTTAGAATTAGTGACCTTCAGAGGATCCTACCAATAACAGATGATCAAAAACAAATATGTACTGAGATATTCACAAATTCCCCATTTAGTGTAATTTTTAAAACCAGTCACAGCAGAATGACTTGGAAAAACAAAGAAGGCAGGAAGGAGCCATGGAGGAGAGGAAAGGATTGTGCTCTGACAATGGCACTGCGTGGATGGAGGTGCTCCTGAGCCTACCCTTTGTTCTTACCTCTCCCAGCGGTCGAGAGCTAACATCATCTCTCCAGGAGAGTGTGGGACCATTTTCCTTCCACAAAGGCCCCTCCCAGGATTATCAAGGCCTGATGAAAAAGAGCAGCGCCACTCACCTTTGCAAGAAGTTTCTGACATCCTAGAAGAGAAAGAAGAGAAAGAAGAGGGAGCTCAGTCCTTCTACCTCGCCAGTCTCTGCGGAGGCACCCACGGGCCCTCCTTATTTTCCACTGCAAGCCCAACCTATTCCGGAGGAGAGATCCATCATCTCCTACAAGAACTGTTTAAAAAGTCTATGCCTGCCTCTGAACTGCCACAAGAGATAGGGATTGAATAAAGGGTATTTGAAGGATGAGGGTGATGGTGAGAGTTTTTTTTATCTCTTCTCTTTTAGGGCAAAATATTCTTGGAAGGTAGCAGAACCATTTTACATGGGGTGTCTCTGTCTGTGTGTGTTTGTCATCCATGAGAAGGGTTCCAGCTCAGAAGCAATTGATGAGAGCAGCTCTGGTGACCAGTTTCCAAGAGAGCCTAACCTGCTCTTTTTGGGAGGCTCAGAAGAAGAGGCAAGATTGATGCATGGCTTGGAATCAGAGCGTTGGCAGAGAAGTGAAAACTGCAGGTGTTCCCATCAATATTTAGTCCACACTGAGGTCAACACACTGACCTGACTGTCTCAATTCTTCTGTATGTACTCAAGTTGATTCTCTCTACATGTAGGTGGGGCCAAAAATGTTTTGCAGAGCCAGTTTTCCCCTGAAGAGCAGCCTGGCTTCCTTCTGCCAGTCCACAGGGAGGTAAACGCAGTGACCTGATTGTATTGATACTTCTGTATGTACTTAAGTTGATTCTCTCTACATCAAACTGGATCTAGTGATTCCTTCTGTAGGTGGGGCCACAAAAGTATTTCAGAGCCAGCTTTCCCCTGGGGAAGCAACCTGGCTTCCTTCTGCCAATCTTACCTGCAGGAGTTCACCTGGGGGCTGCTGGCGCTTCTGCTCCATATCCCGGATGAGACCTCCAAGGGAGGAGAGCTCCTCGGAGAGCCTGGCCAGCTGCTCCTCCCTTTCCCTTGCAATCTCCTTCTCCGCCTCTTCCAGCCGGGCCAGAAGAAGCTCCTCTTGTTCGTTCAAAAAGGAGTAAAGTTTTCTGAATTGTTCCTTTATCTTTTCCATCTCTGCCTTTGTCTCTTTCTGCAGTTGGAGAGTCAGAAAGGGGGAGGGAATGAGGCTGATGGCAGGGCCTGTGAAGGGTGATCTCAAAAAGTCAGATTCCAAAAATGATAACAGGGTTGGGACTTGTGCCCTCCCACTATGTATGTATGTATGTATGTATGTATGTACGTACGTACGTACGTACGTACGTACGTGCGTGCGTGCGTGCGTGCGTGCGTGCGTGCGTGCGTGCGTGCGTGCGTGCGTGTAGAGTACTGCTGAGATCCATACGCCAATCGGCCTATATCCATATATCCATCTATATCTAATCCATTCCCAACCCCATCTTTGTATCTCCATCTATCTATAGCTCAATGTCTATGTGTGCACATGGGTATTCAGCCCATAAATCATTGCATGTGGCCCCAGGGATCAAACATAGCCCTGGGCCTCCAGCCCCCCTTTCATCCTACTCTGCAGAAGTTACATTTTTATATATGAAAACGTTCCCTTGCATTGACTTTGTCTCAGCACTGGGAGTGGTGGTGTTATTCTGCCATTTTAGGAGAACTTCGATCTTGCATCCTCAATCTTTAACAAAAATGTTTTCCCACTAGGATGCAAGGGAGCTGTAATAGCTGAAAAGATTTAAGAAATATATTTCACATTCGGGTGCAGGAATGGATGCAGCCCTCCAACGTCCAGAGGCAGGAATGTATAGTTTGGAATTTGCCCATCCCCTCATCTAAAAGGATCCACTTTTCAAATGTCCTTTTTTAACTCTTTTTAATGATCAATCCCTCTTCTTCGATGCACATCATATCATGGTGAGATTCTGAGAGAAGTCAAAAGCAATACCCTCCATCTGGACTCCATGGCAAGTGTGGACTCCTAGCAGGTGAAACACTTAAGCTATGGCAACAGGGTAAGATACAGTACTTCCATACCAGGGGTAACAAACGCATTAGCAGAAGAGGATGGACAATTTATTTATTTATGGGTCCCTTTTTACAAATACTTGAGATGGAGGGGGACTATCCTTTCATGGAGTTCTTTAGACAAGAGGATGGATGGCCATCAACCAGGGATGCTTTAGGGATTGATGCCTTGATTTTGGTGTGGGTTGGATGCAGTGACCAACACTACAAGGATAACTACCGGTAGAGGTTTGTGAAGGCAACAATCTGTAGTTGCCTTCAAACAAATACACGCTTCAAACAACTGAAGAGATGACCGGCCAATATAGGTTAATCAAACAGACAATGTAATTGGAAGCAGGTCTGCCATAAGAACCCCAAGAGTAAATTTCAAGAGTGCAGTGCTGACTGCGTACTCTTAATTTCAGATACCAGTATTTTAAAAAATTCTGACACGTTTCTAAAGCCCACAAAAAGAACACGTTTTCAGTAATAAATTCAGTAGACCATGAACCAGAAGAACTATGGATTGAGACGTAATTAGGGAAGGCTTCTTCAGCCACCAGGTGTGATGTGGTTACTGGCTGGTGCCAAACATGTGACTGGAAAGATATTTTTAAAAGCTTGGTTGGGTGAGGTCACAATGTGCTAGGAAGGAGGATTGGCTCATGGCTCTGGATTCCGATCATGTTATATTTGCATTTTCCACATGATGGTTTTTAAAAAAATGATCTCTATTTAAGGACACCAATACTCACAAGTAAGCCTTGGCTTTCTTCTTTTGTTTTTTCTTTATATGTTAAAATTTTGGCTCTCTCTTCCTCCAGAAGCTTCAGGTGGCTGGAGATGAGATCCTGAAAGGGAAAAAAAGAAGTCCATTTTTAATATTTAGAGGCAAAGGAGAACTGAAGAACGTGCTTCCTCCCAATCACGGAGGGATGGGCTCTTTTTCACCTTGGACTGCCCACTGTACCCTCCACATTGGTTGATGGATTTCTTTCTGTGTCCTTAAAAAAAGGCTGTCTGAAACTGCTCATCTTGTTTCTAAGGACAGTTGCATTGTCCTAGGAGAGTTAGATTATTACATCTTTCTCACACACAGGCACAGACACTTACCCCGACTTCCATGCAGGGCTGAATTTAGACTCTGGGTCCCCTGATGCACTTCACATTTGGGGGTTCCTTTAGGAATTAAAAAAGCAAGAGCAAAGTGTGCTGCTTATATACCGCCCCGTGGCACTTCAAGCAACCTCTGGCTGGTTTAGAAGTTAATTATGCAGGATACATCTTGCTCCCCCAGCGAGCTCGGTTTTTACTGTAAATGAGGATATTACTGCCCTTGGTAGGATGTAAGGCAGAGTCAACCTTGAGCAGTTTTGCCTGCAATGTAGTAGTTTAACCACTGCGCTACAAGGCTCTTACAAAGTAAATCACCAAATTTACAAATAATACAAATCAATCCATTTTTATATGTCATTGGAACTTATATGTCCATTGTTGTTGTTGTTGTT